GCCTTTACAATACAAGTAATACCAGTTATCGTGAGGATGACTTGGCCAAGTAAATGTATGTATGTATGTATGTATGAGGGGTGGGCCACAATCCGGCCCCTGCACCGCGACAAGCAATGATCTATTGTGCTTCCCCTTTGATTAACCCCTTATTAATCCTACACTTTGAATGAGATGTGAGACTTCGTTTATAGGTGCCTCATAGTAGTCACTTGGTTCCATAAAAAACTGGCCCAAGTGACGAAATCTTAAATGAGCTATGGCCTCACAGTCGCACAGAATATGTGAGGCTGAATTGTCTTCTTTCAGGCACCTTTCACAAGTGGGATCGTCTGTCAATCCCAGATTGTGGCCAAGTAAATAATAATAATTCCAATTCAATTCCTCTTTTTAAGTGATTGCCAAGAGCGAGTGGCCTATGACATGGGAGCTATGACATGTGCATAACAAAAGCTAGTCTACGGCCATATATAAAACTGGAAGTAGAATTAGACTAGTATTTAATACTAGGCAACACAATAATAGAGGTAACACGTTAATGATGTAACTCAGTAAGGGTAAGCAAAGGAAATATATCCTCAAGGGAAATGTTGCTTTTGTTGAAAATATCTAGAGATTTGGAGATGTTGTTTGCAGCCGCAATGCGCCTTGTTAAAGGTGGAATATTCTCTCATTTCCTTAGTGGGTACACCGAGACCATCAATACCCGTAATAGAACAAAACAGATTTTGTTCTTCAAAAAGTTAATGAGAAATAAAGCTTCAAGATTTTGTCGCTCGGAATAAAGTGTTTTAAAATGTATATAGTAATTCAACACTGATTCATAATTACTAAAGGTTTTGGGCTGGATAAATTGATTGTAGCATAAATTTTCAAAATTCCTTTGTATGTTTTCCAGATTAATAGAATCTACTGAAGTCAGGTTATTCGAGACAGCAGATGTGCACTCAAGCTTTGAAAGAAATAAGATAAGAGCTCAGACCTTTAGACTATCTAAAGAAGAAAAATTATATGATGAAACCAATTAGTCCTGACAGCTTTAGTGTCTGAGAATGTGAGTAGTCAACATGAAGGTGAAAATGTACGAGTAATTTGCTATCTAACATAATCCCAATATTTCTTGCACAATCAGTTTGTACGTTTAAAAGATCACCAACAAAGTAATTAAAGTGGATTTTGCTAGTTATAAGTAAAAGTAGTCGTACTTGTTTTGAATGTGTTAATTTTCATATAATTTCCAATGAGTTACTTATGTACAGAGTCTGTCTCGGGTTGTAGTAATTTACAATTCTCAGCAAATTTTATAACACGAAATATTTCTAAATAAGCAAAGAGCAGAAATCTGGAAAATAAGGAAAATTGAATTTCGGCGCTTAAATCATTAATTAAAATGCTGAACAAAAGAGGTTCCAAAGTGGAGCCTTGTGGCACTCCTGACAGCATGGGAAAAGTTGAGGAAGGTTTCTTTAAAGTATGAACAACAGAATATCTAGATGATAAGTAACTTTGGAACCAATTAACATAAGGATCAGAGGATCCAGAATTACTGAGTTTATGTAGAAAAAGAATATGAGGCATTTTATCTGAGGCTTGGTTGAGGCCAAAATAAACTGAATCGGTATGCCCTTATGACCTGACAGAAATTGTGATAAAGTTTAAGTAAATAAATTAACTAGTTGTGGTAGACTTTGATTCAATAAAACCATGTTGAGATGGGTGAAGTTAAAATTTAAAATAAAACGAGATCTCATCACATAGTATACTCTAAGAATTTTTGGAAAAATTGTTTAAAATTGTGATTGGTCTCCATTAGAAATTAGAGTACTTCTACATTTCTTGTAAACGGGCACGACGGCCGCTTGCTTCCAGAGATTGGGAAACTTCCCTTGTAAAATAATAATAATAATAATAATAATAATAATAATAATAATAATAATAATAATAATAAAAACGTAGCTCAAAAAAGGGAGGAAATCTCTGAGCAACCTTTAGTGATAAAACTGGAGATTTCAACTGGACCGACACACTTCGACGAGCTGAGATGTCGAATTGTCTGCCTAACATCAGAATTGGAAATCAGAGGAAAGTTTAAAAACAGAGAAAGTAAAACGAATATTGTTTGGAATAACAACAGAAGAGGGAGAATTAAAAATCGAAGAAAAATGATCCGCAAAGGCTTCATCAATACTGTCACGTGACTGAGTGTGACTACAGACGGGGTTTTGGATTGATGAACGGATTTATTGAGCTCTGACACAGCACGTGACTACAAATTAGAGTTCACTGTTACACACACACACTAATGTCCGCAAGTACATCTACACTGTCGTTGCTTGGTAGTAGCTTCCAACGGCGGACATTCCCTTTCCTCTGGGTTCCTGAACTGTCCCCAGACTCAGCTACCTGTCTCTAACAGCAATGGCTCACAACGACTGAACCGCAGCAGCCCTCTAATTCACTAACCAACTCAACTCACTAAACGACTGATTGAATCCTCACTAACTTATCCTACTTATAACATCTCGGCACGGACCGCACAGAAAACACCGTTCCTCTACTGCAGTGCAATTTTTGCCGTGCAAACATGCCTGTTTACGCAACCATTACTTAGCAACGGTTGTTATATAGTCGCTTATTTCGCCGTCGTTGCCTAACAGCGGGTCTACATACCACAATACATTGAAGCTGCGTTATTTCTTCTTCACCAATTTTGAGATGGATGATAAAACGATCATTCTTTTTAAACTTAGAGATGTATTTCCGAAAGTTTTTAGGTTCAGTTTTCAGCTTGTCATCAATAGATTTTGACAAAAGAAGCCTGTCTACTTTAATGGGGATTTTAACCAGTTGTCGATACTAAGAAAAAACCGCCGTAGTTATCAGAATTTATTTTTTTTTTTGTATTTTCTGAATTGTTGATTTTCTTCTTAATATAATATCTTCAAGAATCAGAAAATCCATGAGGAAAGTAGAATTTTTGGATTTTATATAAGAAATGGCTAAATTCATAGCTTCACGCACTGTGGTAGTGAAATTATTCACTGCAGCCGGAGGAATTTCCATGTAGAACACAAGGCCAGTCAGAATGATGTAAGACTTTATAGAGCAACAGGCGATGGTGGTGGTGGTGGTGGTGGTGGTGATGATGATGATGATGATGATGATGATGATGATGATGGGGATACTCGGTAGCGTAGTTGGTTGAGGCACTATACTACAAGCCGGAAGATCGCGGGAATCCCAAAGAAGTCATTGGATGTTTTCAGTTTACCTAATCCTTTCAGCCGCACTATGGTCCTGGGATCGACTCAGCCTCTAACAGAAATGAGTACCAGGAATCTTCCTGGTGGCAAAGGGCGGCCGGCACGTAAGGCTGACAACCTCACCGCCATCTGTGAGCCGACTGCCTAGAAGATCTGGGAGCCTCGACGTCTTACAACACCATGGGCCTCCACGGCCTGTTACGGGGACAGCTTTACTTTTAATAATAATAATTTTTAATTCAATTCGTGTTTATTTACGTGAAAACTTAATAGTACAGAGGCCAATTACAAAGTTAGCACGAAGAAATACAAAATATGATAGTCCTTATTAAGTACAAAGTGAGCATGAATAAAGATACAGAAACAAACGCAGACAGACAAAGCCACAATATGACAGCGAAGAACAATTCGAGTTTCAAATAGAGCAGCATACAATAACAACAACAACAACAACAACAATAATAATAATAATAATAACGAAATTAATAAAAATAATGATGGTAATAATATTAGTTTAATTAATTCCGTATAAAATATATTTCAACAACAGAGTTTTTGGTCCAAAGGCGTCAGCGTCCCTACAAACAAAATTAGCAGCAGAAGCGCATCTAGCAGAGGGGCAATTTTTACTAACTGAACAAACATTGAGCATAGAAAAGTCTCGGATATATCAAGCAGGGACCAGAAGGCCAACAATTTCCAAAGAAGAAGGGCAAAGTATAGAACCACGATACACTTGAATAAGTGTAACAATAATAATAATAACTTTCATTTATCTGGTATATTACAATTAGAAATGTTAAAAAAATTGACAAGTAGGATATTTAAAAGCTCTGTTTCAAAAGCAGAGTTTATATAGCCTAAGACGTAATAAGGGCCGGTCACGGTTGCCCAGCGGTCTGGGGCATGCACTGTCTTCGCTCGCTCGGAAGCCGGGATCGTGGGGTCGGATCCCACCCAGGACATGGATCTTTGGTGTGCGTTTTTCTGTGTTTGTGTACAGGTAGAGGCCTTGCGACGAGCTGATCACCCGCCCAAGGAGTCCTACCGAATGTGTAAGATCTAGAAAAACAGAAGCGAACGGAGAAGTTCATGGAGGTAGGCCTAGGCCCACTGGGGCTGTAGTGCCAAGAAAAACAAAGACGTAATAAGGAGAGGTGATGGACATGAGTAATTATGGATGAGTGACGAAGCGGTCATGTTCTATTTCAGTGTACTATCCTATAAACCTCATTAGGGAACATGAAAACTACGAAATATGTAGGGTAGACTATAACCCGAGGAAGACTGTAACGAAATACGTACAAAATTCAAGTGTAGAGTGTTAGTGCTACACCAGCATGGTAGGATACGTAGTTTGATGTTACCGAATTAAAAAAAAAACAATACAGGCCTAGATTAATTTTGAAAAAGAAAAAGCAAAATATTTCTGCATCTTTGAAAGATGGAACTAAAAATATGTTGTTGTTTTTTTTGTCACTATAAATCTTTATCAAATTTGGTCTGTAATGACAGGCTTAATGGCAAGCCCATGGCCAAACAAGATTGGGAATATGACATTGGAACACAGCCGTGAGAGAAATTTCCTCATCACCCCCGCCGCCAGGGGGCGTTGTTTGAGAACGGGATTGGTTGCTGGCTGTTTTCGTTGGTTACAGCATCCGAACGGGAGCAAACCAAGTCTCAGTCAGTGAAAGCGGCGTGTCTGCTCATTTCGGTAGAGATACGCGCGGGCGACGCGACGTGTTCTGTGCCAAATTGCGACGTCACATTTTGGGACGGGATACTGGTTATGGGGCAGGAAAGAAAATTTTACGCCAAAAGTAAGGACTCAGCCGATTGGATAAAAATACAAGTATTGTGAATTTTCGCTTGTGGCTTTTTTATTTAATGGACATTTCCGTGTTTGCCGCGCGTTAGAGACTCAGCTGTCAACAAACATGTGGCGGTTCCTGGTGATGTTGCTGTTTGTCTTTCCCACGGGTAAGTGCCCTGCCATAAAGTGTGACGGTGCAATAAAATGTTCCCCTTACAGTTCAAAGGGTGTTTATTGTACTTACCCTTTGTGAATTCGAAGTTTTATCTGTCAGTCTACAACTGAGATATTGAAAGTTGCTTACCGAAATTGTAAACTCAAATATTTTTTATTGACGCTAAAGTTGAGAGAATAATGACATTTTACTCAAAACTGAATAAAATGTTCACAGACATTCTCATTAATTTCAGACATTCAGTAAGTTTAGAAGTGGTTAATTTTATTTGAAGACAATATATTTTACAGCAAATTATTTCTCGATGCTACTATGCAACGCATTTTATGTTCGTATATTCACGCGGCAGCGTAGTTAGTTGAGGCACTGTGCTACAAGCCGGAAGGTCGCGGGATCTAATCCCAATGAAATAATTGGATTTTTTCAATTTCTTTCAATTTCTTTCAGCCGCACTATGATCCTGGGGTCGACTCAGCCTATACCAAAAATGAGTACCAGGAATATTCTTGGGAGTAAAGGGCGACCGGCCCGTAGGGCTGACAACCTTACCGCCATCTATGAGCCGATTGTCTAGAAATGTTGGAACCTCAACATTTCACAACCCTATGGGCCTCCACGGCATGTTACAGGGATACCTTTGCTTTTACTTACTTACTTTTTATTTAGGGCCTCACCATAGCTCAAGAGGTTAGTCGCTGGCTTCCCAACGCGGCTGCCCGGGTTCGATCCAGGCTCTGGTCAAGTGGGATTTGTGGTGGAAAAAGTGGCGCTGGTGCAGGTTTCCTCCGAGTACTTCGGTTTCCTTTGCCAATCTTCATTACACCAAATGCTCCACAATCACCCTCACTTATCATCCGGGGCTGGTACAATAGGCCAGAAGTGGCCGCAGTACAAGGGACTTCAAGCCCCAATACACTTACTTACCGTGTATTCTTCTCAGTCAACTCATAACTTCATAACGGTATCACCAGCTGTTGAAATGCAAAGAACTTACTTTAAACACGGCACTCAGCCGAAACTTCGTGATATGAGATGTCTAAACCACTGAGGCCTAAATAAGACAGGCTGGGTTTCAGATTTTGCTCACTGAATTTACAGGTTTGTACAAATTACTTTCAAGTCAATAACTTTCTTACGGCTAAATGTTATTGAGAATGAAATAATACGTGTCTACACTAATTTTGGATGTACTTTATAGTAAAAGCGAAAAGTCATCAGTTTAGACTGTGGTCTTCCGGCTTGTGACACCTTGTAGTCTTCCAGACGGATACCGAAGTTTCGCAGAAACATGCTGCCTCCATCTTCAGTGTTGAATTATCGTTTTCTCAACTATAATGCTGTAACTGAAACATGATTCAATGGAATTCATTTTATAAACAAATGTTTGGAAAACAAGGCGAAACCAAAGTTCGGTAACAATAATTCTGAGAAAGCGTAAATGTAAAGTTAGTTTTGCCATCCAAGTCAGGGATCGAACTGTATGTTTAATGGCATGGGTACCTAAAACGTGTTCACAAAACCATTCCCAGTCGGGTTTCTATTACGATTAAACCGAAATATGACTTCGAGCTCCTTTCTGACAGTCAGGGAGATACTTCCACGACCTTTATTCTGCTTCAGCTGCGTTTACTTTGCTTATCAAGAGCCCTCGCGGGTTTTTACAGTCAATGGTCTCTCGCCGTCTTACCCCCCACAGTCCCGCTGCTCTACGTAACAAATTCAAGCATCAAGTACGGGCCCACCCAGTGTGTACGGAGAGACAAGCGGAGTAAATTCCGTCGAAAAGTAAATCCGCCTTTCACACAGCACCGTATGAAAGAAATATTTACAAAATCATGCGTCTTCATGCTGAAGTTGTTACGTGTCTCCAATGTACGTATATCCTCGGTTCTCATATTGGGTTATATCCTGAGCCACTTGAATCCAATCTACACCGTCACACACTCTTTCTTTCACATTTAAAGTTAAAAAGATGAAGCTATTCCTGTAACAAGCCGTGCAGACTCAAATGGTTGTGAAACGTCGAGGCTCCCACATTTTAGAGGACAATCCGCTCACAGATGGCGGTGAGGTTGTCAGACTAATATGCTGGCTGCCTTTTACCCTCAGAAAGTTTCCTGGTACTCATTTCAGACAGAGGATTAGTCGATCTAGGGCCATAGAGCGGCTGCAAGAATTAGGTCAATTGAAAAATCCAGTGACATTGGGAATTGAAGCCGCGACCTTCTGACTTGTAGCATAGCGCCTCAACCAACTACGCTATCGCTTGCCCCTCTTTCTTTACGATGTATTTTAGTATTATACTTCCATCTAATGCCAGCCTGGGCCTTTCTCTGCAAGTTTTACGACTAATATTCTGCACGCATTACTCACCTCTCACATTCATGCAGCATGCAAGGCCATGTCATTATTCTTCATTAGCTTGCCCTAGTAATATTCGGCGAACAATACAAATTATGAAGCATCTCACTGAGAATTTTCTCCATCTTCCTGTTACTTCCTTCCTCTTAGATCCAAATATCCTCTCCAGCAGCTTCTCTGACACCCTCAATCTAAGTTTGTTAGCATAGCTCTCCCTGAGATTAGTTCACCAAACTCACCCAGTTACACCGAGTAGGCTGGTTTGCAGCTAATGTTCTAGACTCGAACTGATTCGGGAAGTGCTCTGTTCGAATCTGGGCTGGGACGTCGACCATACGGACTGAAGTTTCTCGCGTATTTCCTCGGTCTCAAGAGACAGACTCCGGGATTATAACCAGATTGGACCATGAGCACTTCCTTCCAAATGCTCTCCACTTCATCAGTTATTGCACCATTCTACGTTACATGACATAAAACCTATGGAAAATGACACTAAATAACCCCTAACAACTCGCCACAGGATACTTTACAATTTGGAAACAAAATCCTTCCGAACAATATTCGATAATTCAGTTTTTATCACACAGAAAATACATTGAATTTCCACTACGAAGAACAATCAGTTAATGCCGTTTAGGGAAACACTCAACCGTAATTGTGAGAATCACACGAAACGCACATTACGTTGGGCAGATTCATTGTTTTAATGTAAGTTGGTACACACAGCAACTACGTGGCCTTTAGTCCGCTAGCAAACTATACCGTCCGAACGACCGCCGCTTGTCGGCGAAGTTAGTGCCAACTTTTGCTGATAGAGGGTGTCACGTGGTCAGCGCAAAGGATTCCCACGACCGCTAATCTCGGTTTTCTAGTTTGGAGCCGCTACTTTTCCATTCAAGTGCCTCCTCAATTAACCTCACGAGGCTGAGTGGACCCCGTTCCAGACCCTCTACTTCACAGAAAATTTGATAGCACCGGAAATCGAACCCGGGACCTCTGGATATGTAGCCAGGAGTTCTGACCACTAGACCACAGAAGCAACCACTCTGCCTTAAATGGATGGATGAGGCTGTAACCCAGAGGGAGGAGATGAAGTTGTAGTTTTATACGTTTTAACGTTTGTGCGTTTAGGTGGATTGTGAGGGGGGATACTCTGAATTGGGAAACAGGGTGCATTACTCGAACTGACTCGGATCTTAAATTTTTCATGAATGTAATTTTGAATTGTTACTGCCGTTCCCAAAAATTATTCTGCCACTTTTTCCAAGAATTTATTAGTTATGCTAGTGATTTTGCCTTGCATGCTAGCGGTGAATATGAACACATACTATCCCTGTATCAGGCCATGGAGGCCCATAGAGTTGTGATACGTTGAGGGTCCCACATTATCTAGACAATCGGCTCACAGATAGCGGTAAGGTTGTCAACCTTACGCGCCAGCCTCCATTTTCCCCCAGGAAGATTCCTGGTACTCATTTCTGTTAGAGGCTGAGTCGACCCCAGGGCCATAGTGCGGCTGGAAGGATTAGGTCAATTGAAAAAATCCACCTCATCAGGACTCGAATCCGCGACCTTCTGGCTTGTAGCATAATGACTCAACCAACTACGCTACCGCATGCCTCCATGAGCATAAAAACCTTTACTAAGATATTTATGTATGATAGTGTGGCTAAATCAGATATATGTGTTATAATGTCGCTATTCAACATAGAAGCAATGAAAATGTTTGACTGTATCGAAACGTTGAAAACCCGAACATACTCGTGCTACCAGTCTTGGGAGAAACCGTGCAGATCATCAAATGTTTGTCTGTGGTAGATATACGCTTCTGCTTCCGTGTACAGAGCAGTGTGTAGTTGCTCCTAAAAGCACACTGACAATAATGTTAAAGCCCCAGTTCTCTTCGCGTGATTACAATTTCATTACACAAAGCAAGCCCGCCATACACTGCCTCTGTTTCCTCCGATTTAGTACAATGAAATGCGTCCGTATCGTTGTAGAGAAATTGTAAATACTCTTTCCTAACAGTTAATATTGGAAACATCAATGAAAGACGAAACGAAAGAGAATTATGAAAGTATACCCGTGTTGCCGGGGTCACGCGGTAGCGTAGTTGGTTGAGGCACTATGCTACAAGCCGGAAGGTCGCGGGTTCGAGTCCCGATGAGGTCATTGGATTTTTTTTTTAATTTATCTAATCCTTCCGACCGCAATACGGCCCTGGGGTCGACTCAGCCTCTAACAGAAATGAGTACCAAGAATATTCTTGAGGGTAAAGGGCGGCCGACCCGTAGGGCTGACAACCTCACTGCCATCTGTGAGCCGATTGTCTAGAAAATGTGGGAACCTCAATATCTCACAACCCAATGGGCCTCCACGGCCTGTTACAAGGATAGCTTTACTTTTTCGTTTTTACCCTTGTAGTCACTGAAGTTCGCTAACGCATGCGCACCACCAGTATTCCAGTTCTTGTTACTCCAGAGGGAGAACGTGTGGAGTTAACGAGTTTAAGCATCACCCTTGAAACTTCGCTACGGTTCTTCTTTCTTACGTGGTCACACAGATAAAAGTAGCAGAATAAAGACCAGAGATCGAGATAGCTAAGGCTTTGAATCGCCTTTTCGATGATTA